AAAAATAAAGTAAAAGAAGGCCACCTATTGCTAAAACGCATTGGTATACAAGCGAACATATAATTTTTATTTTTTTAACAGGAGTAGAAAGTATTGTTTTATAAATAAAATCAGACAAGAATTAACAATGACAACAACAAAAAACAGGGCACTCCATAAAACACTGGAAACATTTAACACATGTTAGATATTATTAATGGTCAGGAAAAAGTAGACACGAGGCGCATGAAAAGCATCAGTGGTTAATCTAGGTGTTTGTTTATTGTTGTACTTCTTACTTCTTCCATTTTTTTTTTCCAAAAAAATTTTAAGGGTTACTGAGAATGAAATTATGTATCTATCTAGTCATTCAACAAACACTTCTCACTCCATCTTCCAAGAAGCCAAGTACTATTCTAGGTGTTGGGGATACAAAGATGGACACAATAATCCCTGCCCTTGAGAAGTTCTCAAGAAAGTGTAATAAAAATGAAAATTCATAAATTATACATTAATATATACATATAGTAGAGTGAGAATATCTCATGGCCCAGTCCCAACAACAATAGAAAATAAGGCTTTCATCCTGAAATGATGCAGAGGAAGAGAAAAGCATGCACTATTTGTCATTACCTAAGCACATAATAATCCTTACAGAGTCAAAAACTAAACCATATTCTGCACAAAGGCACAGAGTCTCCTAGTATGATCCTTTAAAACGGTGCTACTCAAAGTATGGCCCACAGCCCAAACTGTTACTGTTCAGTGACCAGAAAGTACAGAAGTTTCTAAGCACTTAGAAGCCTCTGTACCAATGTGACATTAACACACCATCCAAATATAGGAACAGTAGATTCATCTCATTGAACACAGAACAAAAATAAGGATTCATAAAAAAATGATAAAAAAATAAAACAAAACGAAATAAAAAACAGCAGAAGAAAAAAGACTGGTTCTTTACAGATAGTTTGAAAAGCACCGTTTTAAAACTCCTTGGGTAAGTATCTTTGGCTAGGACCAAAATTGAATTTGGAATGAAAATCAATGGCAGAAGCTAGTTTATAACTTAGCATGGAAGTTCCAAATTCCAACATCTCTTAAAGGATCTCTACAAACAAAATATCAAAGAACTCTGACAAGGTTGTCATAAAGGATAGTGTCTTAAGGACCACCTAGAGAAAAGGGTCTCTGGATCTCTATAACTGCGCATGGGGGTAGGGAAAATGGCAAATCCCAAAGATCTAGAAAACATCCCTCCTGAATTAATTCTACTCTGAGGCAGGAAATGGACAGGGCGGCCAATGACTGCAGGAGAAAAAGGATGGTGTGAAATGGCAACGCTGAGGTAAGTCGGCAGTCCAAACACAACGGCCGCCCTTATGTAAGAAACCACAGCAGAGCGCGGGCTGCCAGAGTGAAATAATGTGCCTCTGTGTGCTAGGGACTGAGTGAGCTACAGAGCCTGGGACGCGCTTGGAGTTTATCTAAGCCATGTACACAGGGTCTGTTAATGAGCATTCGGTCCCCCAAGTGGGCTTGGTGCTGATAAAAACCAGATGCAGGGCCAGCTGATCAAAGTGGCCTCATTCCCCATTGCCGGCTGCCTGGACCACTATCTCGCCATGTCTCCTGAGCCTTCCTGGCACTCCCTCCTTTAATGGACATTCACAAGCTGAAAACACCACACCCTTCCAGTTGGCTTCTCCCATGCTAATTAAGTTTAAAGGTACAGAAAGCAGGAGGGTTTGGAGACAAGGACAAAAGTAATGAGGGGTGTTCTATTAGGACTTAGCAGCCCAGCTTTCGGTAGGCTTTAGTCCTTAAAACATACGGACATGTGTAACCTCTTTATGAGCAGTCTCAACTGCTGCAAGTTTCAGAAAGGCAGTGCAGCAACTGGAAAAGTAAGTCCGAGGGATTGCCAAGTGAATCGATTGCTCACTAAGAGACTTAAGAAGTTGAGAAGATGAAGGTGGAAGAGAAAAAGTCAGCTGGATGCCCTGAAAAAAATATCTAGCATGGCTCAGAAATGCCTTAGCAAAGAGGAGACATGCTCCATGGTATCTCGCAGTGTATGAGGACCCCTAGTGAGCAGGGAAGAACATCCTGATCCCGTCAGAGATGCATATTCAAACCCAAAGCCAGTCAACCCAGTGAATGTTGCCTTAAGCTCTTGCTCTTGGTAAGAAAATGCAATATACCTGTCATAGTTGCTCTTTATTTGAGGTATCAAGGAAGCAGAAAACATTCATCCAGGTGGAGAAAAAAAGGATGGCATTTAAATTTATTCTTTACAAATATGTCTTAGGAGCCTACTTTGTGCCAGGCTCTCTGCCATCTTGGTGTTTATAGCCCAGAAGGGCAGAGAGACATGAAACAAGCAATTACACATGTGAGCAGAGTTACAGTACACAGAGCGATCTGACTTTGTCTACCACGGATCAAGGAAGGATTTCCAGAGGAAGTCCTAAACTAAGCCGAGACTTGAAGATGGTTAGGAATTAATGGACAAAGTGCTGAGAAAGGTTTCAGAAACAGCAACCAGAACGGTGGAAGGTCCCAAGTCCAGAAAATGAGTGGTACATTTGTCCAACTGAAATAAATTATTATGGCTAGGGCTTGGACAGCAAAAGCAGGGAGTGCCTTTGATGAAAGGCTTGAGGGGTATGTGGGGTCCTATCATGCAGGGCTTTCAGGCCTTATCAAGAATTTGAGAATTTATCCCTAAAGATACTAGGAAGCCACTGCAGTATTCTAAGTGGTGAAATGTCAGGCTCGGAATTTTATTTTAATTTATTTATTTTTAAAAATTTTTTTATTATTTTCTATGCCTACAGCGCCTGGTCTTCCTAAGTGGTCTCCCATCCAAGTACTAACCAGGCCTGACCCTGCTTAGCTTCCGAAATCAGACATTGGGCTTGTTCAGGGTAGTATGGCCATAGACCATGGACCATGGCTCCACTAGGGTGCAAATCCAGGACTTTCTGCGTGTAAAGCAGACGTGCTAACCACTACACTATGGAACCACGTCCTCAGAATTTTATTTTAAAAGGTTAAAATTGGTCCCCCGACTCCTAAAACCATGATATCAGGAATAAAGGAATAACCCATGTCTGGATCTCCTAAACTTGTAAATAATCTGGGGCGGGGACGCTAGGTCTATGAATTGCCTAAGTCACCATACAACATGTGCCCTTTCTGAGATACCACCACAGAGCAGTAAACTGAAAGCCTCCACATTCACCGCCATACACTCAGCCGTGCTGGTGGCAATCTCCAGCTAAGCAGCCAATGATCTCCAGGCCTCCCTGATGTCTTAGGTATGGGCGTCTTAAGATGGAAAACTGAGTCCCAGTGCACTTCTCTGGCATTGGGAAAGTGGGCAGCAGCCTCCCCAGAGCCACGTACAGGCCTCCTCATGTCGTAAATGCTCTAAGGAAAAGACATTGTCCAAACTCTACCTTGGAAAAGTGTTTCGGCCTGTGGCGGGGTGGGGGCGGAGAATCAACTTCCCTGGGCCACTCCATCCGCCAGACTTAGAATAAAGAACGTTTTCAGAGCCCTGAGTTTTCCAGCTGCCTGGAAACAGGAAGAGCCCAATCCCGGGGAACAGTAACCCACACACACGCCCTACATAAAGACACGTTGAGCCATTAGCCCTAATTGCCTGTGACTGACACAAGAGTGAAGCTGGCCTTCCAGGCATTTGCTCAGCGGAAAGAAAACAAACAGCTCACAGGGGACAGAGGCAGCCATTTTTTTTCCTTTCTGCCAGAATGATCCTGCTCTGCTCCCCCCAAATTATATACAGATTTGAAATTATAAACCAAAGGTCTTTCGAGTATTCCTTACCACATACTAAAGAGACAAGAAATCTCTGTAGGTACCAGTTAGACACAGTAACTGGTTAATCAATTGGTTAAATTAACCATTTTACAAAATCAAAAACTTTGCAAAACACTTTTCAGAGCCACTTCTCAATACTCTCAATTCTCTATAGATGTAAGGTATTAAGAACTATTTGCAATACTTATCATATCTTCATCACACTTTATTTGACGGTGACTGTGGCGATAATGGACACTGGTTTCTTCAGTTCCAAACTGATAACCAAGAAGGACAGCAGGACCACAATGGGACTGGCTCCTGACTATGAACAGCAGTTCTAAGATAAGGCTTCATTTCCCACTTCAGAACCATTCTCTTCCTTTATGGTTCCCTCACAAACACTTCAAAAATATCATTCACCAGTTGTAATGCGCACCATCGGGTGAGTGCCTCACATACACTATCTAATCTGAGTCCCTTAACTTCCTGGGGAGATATGCATGATTATTACCTCCAAACTCTACCTTGGAAAAGTGTTTCGGCCTGTGGTGGGGTGGGAGCTTACTGTCCCTGTGGCTTAGTGGGACAGTAAGCCACTCAGGTAAGGTCAAATAGGCTCACGTGGGGATTTAAACCCATGCTCTTAATCTCCACTCCCTATGTGGCCGAACTTGAAATTCTTTTTGGCTTACTGGGGCCATCTTCTTATCATCCAAGGTCTTTACCACCAGATTTAATTCTGAACTAAAAGAAGGCAAGAAAACTAGTAGCCCATGTTTATATGAGCCCTATTAAAGGAATAACATTCAGAGCCTAAAGTCTTCCATAGGCCATTAAGATAGAATTCAAGAGAGAAAAGCTGTTTTCTAGGTAAGATCTAGGCAAACACCCTCCAATGATTTCAGAAGGTAAAATGAGCTCCTTGTTCCATAAAGGCTGTACTCTTTGAGTCAAGCTGTTCATTTCAAGTCATGGTATAAGGTAGCATTGATTCTGCCCTAGATAATTTAGATTCTTTTTAAGATTTATGTAGAACAAGCGGTTCTTCCTCTCTCCCTTATTCCTAAGCATAGCAGCCTCCCAGAGACTCCAAGCCACTAGGTAGTAAATAACCATGTTGTTTCTGCCCTGGTGAAGGCGCCTCAGTCTTTGGAGGGGTGAAAAGCACTGTTGTGGGACAGAAGGCTACTTACCCAGCAGGCAGAGCATCAGGGGCCTGGGCAGCCACCGGGAGCTGCTGTGTGCCTGAAGTGCTGGGCTGCTCTCCTTCAGCTGGCGTGGCTGGAGCAGGGAGAGATGTTGTGTTGGGGTTCAGGGTAACAGTCGATGCTGCCACAGGTGGGGATGTCACACCAACAACAGAGGTTTCTTCGGGATCAGGGACTGTAACAGGTTCGTCATTCACTGAAAACACAGAATTCATATTTTAGAGATCGACTAAGCCTTATGTTCACATTCACTAGGTTTTTCTTTTAATGTGATAACACAATACCTACAATGTGACTGTGCATGTATCCAATGACAGCAAAAAGTTTTACAGAATATAACTTTTGGAAATTACAGCAAGTCAGTAAATGGCCTGCTGTAAGAAAACTGGGAGATGGATCTGGAATAAATAGATTATTAAATAAATAGTATCTCTCCTATAGAAATTTATTAAATTTTCCTAATATACAAGTTTATAGAGTCATATACTTTTCTTTAAACTTGTCATTTGTCTGCTAGGTACAAATAGCACCTTCCTTCAAATAAGCTCCACACATACTAAGAGAAAACTTCCAATAATGTGCTTGTTCTTTTAAGGACTCATGCCCAAAGCAGGGAGTAAGGATTAATAAATACTCTAGATGAAAAGGATGGGGCACCAAAGATAAGGGACTTATCTCCGAGGTAACAATAGACAGAGAAACAGAAATGAAATAAGCTGGTTCTCAAGTTTCCTTATTTCTCCATATCTTCATTTCTTTGATGCTAATACATGTTCACAAGGACCCTGAGGCGCTACAATATCCTCTTACTCAAAAAGGATCAAAGTTTCAAAGGTTTTGATTCATATATAGAAAATTCTTTGAAAATGGATAAGGCAAATGTAGAGAATTTTCTACATATGTGATTCCATCTGTGTACATTTATACTAGAATTTCACAGGAAAATGCCTTAGTTGTCCATTTCGCCTCATCTTCCTAAATCAGAAATTCTTTTTGCAGTTTCCCTAACAAATGGCTACCCAGATTCTTCTTGAACATTTCTTCCGACAGGGAGCTCACTACAGACTCATTCCATTGTTGAACAGATGTACCTGCCAGAAAGTTTTTTCTTATGTTAAGGTGATTCCACTAGCTGGTCTTAGTCTTTATCCCTTAGCAATACAATATCAGTATCTGGTCATTCTGTTTCTCATTCACCTCCCCTTTTCCAGTAAAAAGGCCTACTATTTCTTCAATGTTTCTGCCCACTTATAGATCTTTTTTTCTACTGCCTCTCCTAAATAATGCTATCAGGAACTGAACATAATAAATCAGATACCATCACACCAGCAGAGTCAGATTTCCAATATAAATGATATTAACATTTACAGGACACCAGTATGTGCCAGCAAAGTGCAAAGGCATTTTGAATTCTCTCATTTAAGCCTCACACACAACCCCATGAGTTAGGTACAATTAATATCTCCCCCATTTAAAGCTGAGGAAACTAAGGCCTGAAGAGATTAAATAACCTGCCAAGGTCATCGGGCACCTAATTCACACCCCTGCTTGCTGTCTGCCTCCAGAGCCTGAATAACTCGCTCACTACTCTCTACTTCTCTTTCTCTACATATCCTCTAATGCAACTCGAGATTATAATAACTCTGAGCCTATTGGCTAACATGAGACTGGTGATCCGCTGAAACTAAAATTTCTTCACTTGATGTGATGTCAAGCTTGACCCTAATAAATGGATAAGAGTCTAGAGATGACCTACGATTAATTTATTTGCTTCCTCTTCAGTATATGATATACTGTCTGGCACGTAGACTGAATTAGCTGTTAAACAAATGACTACCTCTTGTGCAACTGCTGTTTCCCCAAGAGAAATACAAGACTGTATATTTCTACTTCTATTCTATCTTAGTCAAATTAGTAAAACACCACAGATGGCAATTCTCTTTATGCAAATCTATAAATTTTACTCAATTCCAATAAAAAAAACCATTGTGACTTTTTTGAGAACTAAATAAATTCATTCTAAAATTTACAAAGGAAACTAAATACAGAAGAATTGCCATGAAATTCTAAAGATAAAGTGTTATGTGTATGTGTAAGAGAGGAGGTAGTTCTCTTAAGTATTAACATATTATAAAGCTACAACACTTAAAACAATGTGGCACTGATACATTAACAGGCAGATGTCGATTAAATAAATAAGTTCAGAAACAATTAAATACTCTGGAATTTAGTAAATGACAAAGGTGGCATTTGAAATTACTGCAGAAAAGAGAAGGTTATTTAATAACAGTGGTGTGACAACTGGGTAGTGTACTGAAAAAAAAACTGAGTTATATTCCTATCTCACTCCTTACATCAAAATAAATTGCAGATGGAGCAGGGATTCTGACAAAAAAAATGAAACAGAAGCAAATATTTTTATAATCTCAAAGTGGAAAGGACTTTTTGAAGTATTACATGAAATCTAGAAGTCATAGAAGATTGATGAATTCAACTGCATTAAAATTTTAAAAAATCTAAATGGCAAAAAAAAAAAAAAAATACCAGAAGCAAAATTAAAATCAAAAGAAAAACAACAAACTTGGAAAAATTATCAGCTCATATTACAGACCAATGGCTAATTTCTTTGATAGAAAAAGAAGCTCTACAAATCAGTAAGAAAAAGAACAAAAACACAGAAACACTTCAGTTAAGAAAATACAAATTATCCCTAAATAAATGAAAAGATGCTTAATCTCAATTCTGAGACAAGAAATGCAATTTAAGACTATAATAAAATACTATTTTTTCTCATATTGCAAGAGTAAAAATATTTAATCACACATTGATAATAGTATAAAGAAAATGCATTTCCACATACTGCTGGTAGGAATAGAAATTGCTAGAAGCTCTATGGAGCACAGTTGGGCCACATCAAAATTTTAAGTGCAATAAATGAAAGGTCAGAGGGAAGTGAATGTGGGTGCAATAAAGAGAAGTAGGGGGTAGATGAAATTTAAATTGCCATGAGTGAACAATAGCTGAAGCTGGGTGATGAGTTCATTATAATACTCTTTATACTTTTGTATATATTCAATGTTTGTGGCACAGATGGAGTTGTATACTACCATCAGGAGGCACATGACATCTGGTTGCCTCTTTTTTGCGATGTTAACAGCCACTGATGATTATTGCTTAAATCTATTAATTGGTTAGGGTTTGCAAAACAGTAAAATTCTAATTCTATCATGCCTATAAAGAAAAACTTTTCCTCACCAACTATTTGGCTATATTGGCTATCCATAAAAAAAAAAAAAAAAGGCAAGAGAAATGCTTGAGTCTTTCCTTTCATTTAACAGTTTTCAGAATAATGAGTTGATTTCCTCACATCCTCCAAAAATGAACAAAGAAATTCTGTTTTGTTTAAAAATCATTATGATAGGGAATAGAGTCAATAATATTGCAATAACTATGCATGGTATTACATGAGTACTAGATTTACTGAGATGATCACTTTGTAAGGTATATAAACATCTCATCACTGTGTTGTATACCTGAAACTAATATATTGTATGTCAACTGAAATTGAAAAATAAATTTTAAAAGATCATTATGTGGTCTCGAATTTAAATATATTTGAAATATTTCAATCTGCTGTGATTATTATTCTTATTGGTACTAAAATTGTCCTCATCTTTGGCTGCGGTTAGCAGGGAGAGCAAAGGAGCAAAGTTCTTCAAGTTCTAGAAAAATTTCTAAGATAATTATTAAGTGGGAAAGTATAAAACAGCATATATATTATGCTACCGTGTGTGTGTGTGTGTGTGTGTGTGTGTTTAAAGAATATATAGGCATATGCTTGTATAGACAAAAAATATCTTGGGAAGAATTATAAGAAACACAATGGTAACTGCCTCTGGGGACTGGATGCTGGAGGACTGAAACAGGAAGGAAACTTTTTTTACACGGTTTAAGCTTTTATACTGTTAAAGTGTTGATACCATATATGTACTACCTATTAAAAATAATAACTATGAAACGGTTGACCAGGAAAAGAACAAAACAGAGTCCTGTGAGATGCCAATGGAAAAGACACTATTTGGATGTGACTGTTCATGCAGCTGCAAATCTAGTAAGAAGGCTGCCCACCATGACTTGGACTTGTTCACAGACATATCTGAGAGCCTTTGATTCACCAGAGTAGCTCAACTGTTTAAGGAGTTTTATGCTACACCTCAAGTTCAGAGTTGGAAATAGAATATGAAAGCCAGATAGTCTAGCACTGACAAACTTTCTGTGTCCATGTTTATACTCTTCTGCTCTCAAAGAGTGTGTGTGTGTGTGTGTATATACAGATTCTTAGAACGTAAGCGCTTGAAAGAACCTCATAGGTAAATCCACCACATCACAGTTTATAGTCAGAAGAAACTAAAGTTCAGACAATTAAGTTACTGGATCACTGTCACCTGGTAAACCAGTGACAGAGCACCATACACAAACCATAATGTGACTTCAGGTAGAGAGAAAAACTGGATTATCAAAGACATAGACTTACTGTTTCATCAGGCCTTAGAGAGCTGCTGTATTTTGCATTTTAGCTCTATTCAAGATAGCCAATATTCCCTTAGTAACCCTAATTATTTGGTGTACACAACTTATGTTTCCCAAATGATGGTACCCTTCTTGAGAATGGGGTCAAATTCATTTCTTTCATTTTTCACCTTCCACTCTGTACCTCCAAGGTTCTTGCCTCCATCTCTCTGCTCAGCTCCGCCCTCCTCCCTCAAGGCCCACTCCACCACTTCAGTCCAGACTCATCCCCTTCGTGGAGCCCACAGCCCCTGTGACATCGGTTGATGGTGCCTTTGCAGCTTATTTTCCTGAAAGAAAGAGTATAGGGCAGAAGCCCTCTTTTATTCTTCTTTATAGTGTCTTCTTTACAGTGCTTAGCAAAATGGCTTTCGATAAATACTTGTTCAATAAACCTAATAATCTAACAAAAGACACCTGATCTAAAACCACCTCACATTTGGGTAACCCTACCACTTACAGAGCAGTTTCTTTTTAAAAATTTTTATTTTGGAATATTTTTAGATTAATATAAAATTTGCAAAGGTAGTACAAAACAGTATGCCCTTCACCCATTTTCCCATAACATTACTACCATACTTAATTAACCACAGCACATTTGTCAAAGCCAAAAGATTAACATCAGTA